ACAATTTTTAAGCTTTGCTCAAGTTCTAACTAAAACAGTTTTGAAGTTTTTGTCGTTTTACTCTTTTTACTCTTTTGGCTCCTTAGGGGTCCACCACCCAGTTCCGAAACAAATACACGGAGTCTTATTTTTTCTTATGACTCCCAGCCTTAGCCTGCCTTGTTTCTAGCCAGCTTTTCTTAATTTAAATTATCCCAAATTTACCCTTTGCCTCTGGGATTTTTCCTTTTCTTTCTTCTCTAATCTTACTTTCAGTCTTACTCCGGGGCTGGCTGTGTGGCTGGTCCCATCTTTTCTCACTTTTTGATCTGTCTTGCTTTCTCTTTTTCTCCTTGTATTTATTCTCTCTGCCTGTCAGCCCCGCCTATCCTTTTTCCTGCCTCACTATTGGCCGTTCAGCTCTTTATTGAACCATTAGGTGTTTTAGACAGGTAAAGCAGCACAGCTTCCCAGAGTTAAACAAGTGCAGTGTAAGGAATGCAACACAAGCAAATGTTACAGATCTACCACAGCAAGTATTTCTCTTACGGTTCCAAGCTCCTGAGCTATATGTATAAGAGAGAGTTAAAGAAGCTGGTGTTTTTAGCAGTCTTTTACTATCTCAGGTGGAGGATGGGGAAATATTTTTGTGGTATGCAGTTTGTGCAAGTTAGGAGCTACTATATTACACATCCATTTGAACCGTTGAAGATTTTCATTATTGGAAGCAGAAGGCTGTACTATTTCAAGGATGATCTCAAGTTTCTATTCAGAGGACTTGAGCTTCAAATGTGTTCATTGTGACTAACCATTGGACATATTAAAAATCAGGATGTGGGATGAAAATGCTACAGCCTCTTTAAAAAAGAATTTGGCAGCTTCTTAAAAAGTTAAATACAGTTACCACATGACCCAGCAATTCCTTGTAGGTGTCTGCTCGTTAGAAATGAAAATACATCCACACAGAGACTCGTGTATGAGTGTTAGTCATAAGATCCCCAAACTGGACATTGGTGTTTGGAGAAACCAGATGTGCTGTGTATGTACTGTAGAGTAGTCTAGCGTAAGAAGGAAAACACATGCACAACATGAATTAGCCTCAAGGACGTTATAGTAGTAATAGGAGCACATGGGAAGTACCAGCTGCTGTATGATTCCATTTATACGAGATGCCGGAAGCAGGGCAGTGGTCGCTCTAGGTTGGTGTAGGAGGATGGACGGAATGCACACAGGCTCATGAATGATTGTGGTGGTGGATTTACAGTGGATGGACTTTATGGTACATGTTGGACCTTAAGGTTATTAAAGAGGGGAGGAAAGCCGGGGAGATGACTCTGGTTAAGAGCACTTGCTGCTCTTGCAGAGGACCAGGGTGAGTTCTCAGCACCCACATTGGGTGGCTCATAACCACCTGTACTTCCAGTTCCAGGGCAGCCGATATCCTCTTCTGGCCTTCATGGCCACATACATGCACACGGTGTACAAACAGATAAACACACAGACGATAAACATGCAAATCTTTAAAAGAAGGAGGAGAGAAGTTAAAATTAATTTCCCAGCTAGAGTATTAAGGAAAATAATGGCAGATGCAGTCATTTAAAAATTATGAAAAGAGATTTGTTTAAGAGATGTAATCTTTCTGGTAAAAGTAAAAGGATTTTTCTTTTTTTTATATTTATTTATTTATTATGTATACAATATTCTGTCTGTGTGTATGCCTGCAGGCCAGAAGAGGGCACCAGACATCATTACAGATGGTTGTGAGCCACCATGTGGTTGCTGGGAATTGACCTCAGGACCTTTGGAAGAGCAGGCAATGCTCTTAACCACTGAGCCATCTCTCCAGCCCCGTAAAAGGATTTTTGATTTGAACTGACAACAACATAGACAGTCCTTTCGTTCTTGCCTTGGATGTCATACATGTCAAAGATAGCGTCAACTGTTTACTTAAAATGTTCAGTTTTTCCACACTGTACCATGGCTGGTAGAGAAAATTAGGACCGTACAGTTACATTTGGGGGAAGTAATTGGCCAAAAATGTTAACATTTATATCCTTTAATTTTACATAAAATATTCTAAGGAAATAATTAGGAATGCAAACAAGGATTTGAATTGGAAATATTCTCTGTACTGTAGAGATTAGCCAGAAGCCTAAAAGCAGCCTTTGTGCTGTCCCTGTTGGACGATTAGGATGTGGAAGGGGTAGAAACTGTTCCTCATTAGCCTAAGTAAAACTTGTTTGTTGAAACAGATAGAAGGTACTCAGCAGCCTAGATAGTGGGACCATTGAGACCTTCTGGCACTGGGGAACCCAAGCTACCTTTTGCATCCTGCCCTGGGGCGGGTCAGGCTAGTCCCTTCTTTCTCTCGGTAAATGGGCTTTGTCCTCGGCCTTTTTGCGTGTGTGCCAGTGCTGTGTGCCAGCTCACATGGACTCGGTCTTGTATTACTGAGAGGTTCTAGAAGCATCCTTTTGAGTCTTAAGTGGGTCGTGAACACCTGTGGCTGGCCTGTACTGAGCTAAATTAGTGGAAATGAACCACAGGTTTCTGTGATGGTGACAAGGGGTGGTTATTACCAACTTAAACGTATTCCCGATGCCTTCTGAACTCAAATTCCGGATAGAGTGCACCTGTGGTGGATTCCTGCTTTGGTGTTGGGTTTCTACTCCTCCCCCTCCTTAAAGCTCCTTACTGGAGAATGGCGATCACAGCCTTCCCCTCCCGACACTCTTCTTCTGAGTCGTCCTTGCTCCTCCGTCCTGACCTGCACCAGCTCGCCGCTCTCTGTGTCCATGTAATGTCACTGTTACTTTGTGATTGTTTCTCACGTCACATCTGTCCTGCACATTTTCTTTCTCCTTTGTAGCTAAGGGAATCGTTTGCATCTCTTGTTTCCTCCTGTCCCCCTTCCTATTGGGACTCACACTGTAGACACTGCCCTGGTTTTTTTCTCTGTTCTTCTCCGGGGTAATTATGTACTGTACTGTACTGTACTGTCCTCAGCTTTGTAATCCTGATAGCACTGAGGATTCCTTTTTTGGGGGTGGGGGCAGGGGTCCAAGACCGTTTCTCTGTAACAGCCCTGGCTCCTGGAACTCACAGACATCCATCTGCCTCTTCCTCCTGAGTGCTGAGATTAAAGGCTTGTGCCACCATACCCGGCAGCATTGAGGATTTTTTATACAGTGTATCGAATATTTACCCAATTACACATTCCTTCATTTTAAAGTGGACTACTTATCACACTTGTATGTAAATTTTTTCCCTCCATCTTAAGAAAAATATTGTTTTTCTCCTCTAAATTTAAGAGTAATTTAACTTGATTTTTGTGGCCAAAGGAGAAAAAAACTTAGTATTAATTGGTATGCATATTAATATTTTTCAGTATATTTAAGGCTTTTAATATGAAATTTCCCGTAGACTAAAACCACAAAACCTAGAGTGTTTTGGATACTAGTGATGTATATTTAATTTCTGTACTAAATATCTTACTATAGAAAGAAGCAATGCTGATTGGAAAAAAAAATGCAACCAATTGAGAAATGTGCTGTGTAGGCAGTAAAAGTTTCCAGTATTTTTTTTTTGTAGAGTTCTTACAAATAAAATGAACGTATAGGTCTTTGTGAATGTGAAACGAATGTCCGTTCCGTCGAGTATTGTAATTGGTGGAAGGGTCCATGTTCAGCTGCTGTGCAGAGCAGGCAGCAGTGGAGCCTCCACCCCGTGTGTGCAGTTAGCACTCGAGTTGATAAGAGTGAGAAGTTTGTGTGACTCTCCTGAAGTTGTGCTACAGCCATAGCACATGTGTTGAAGGCCTGGGTGTTTCACCCCATTACCCTGATTGCAAGAATGTTGTGAACTGGGCGAGCCTGGATTCAGTGAGAGGGTGGGCTAGCAAAGTCAGCTCTAGTGTAACTTTTAAAGAATAGCATCCATCAGAAGCAAGGCTTTGGGGATCTTGTTGAATTTTAAGGTTTTTAAAGAGTTGGCAGCTGTCATTGGCAAATTGTATGTTAAGTAATGTACTTTGGCTATTCAGTATCTAAATGAAAGTGGGCAGATAAGTAGAAGAGCTAGCAGAAAAGAATGACAGAATCTGCTTGCTTTATGGGTTGGACAGAGTGGATGCTATGTAAACAGAGCAGCAGATGCTTGGTTGTCAGTCTTAGGGTGACCATCAGGGCTTGGTGCCTCATGAAGAGGGAGCATTTGAACCTGCATGGACAGGCTAGCTTAGTGGGTGAGACACTGCATTCAGAAGGGGACTCCTAAGGGAGAGCCTGCATACTTGGATCGAAGTGGACTTGTTGACGGTTTCTGCTGAATTAATCTCTCTTTAAAAGCTGTAAGCTGTAATTAGTAAATGGCCATATTTAATGCATGAAGAACTTAAACATTTTAAGAGGTGAGTGTGAGGCATAATCCTCGCAGAAAACAAACGATAAAGCGGGTGTGTGTTAGGTGGTCTATGCTTGACGCTGTTGCCTGTCTTAAGAAAGTCGGTTCAATTTCAGGGGCCATTCCAAGGCAGCTCTGAGTACTCTCTGGATAATAGAAACAAATGAATAGTTAATTTAGACACTGTCCTAATCTAGCTGTGACCTTGGCCTGTCTAAGTGTTGTAGTGAAAAAGGAATGTTAAAATGTTTTCCTCTTCGAAACAAAGTCTGTGACAGATAGAGGTTGAGAAAGTGCTGGAAACCTGGCTGATTAAAGATAAGACCACGAGAAGAGATTTCCCCAGAAGTGGCTGTATTTGGGCAGAAACAAAGGTTGGAAGATGCCCGTGTTAAAGTGGCTGGCAGAGGACTTGGAAGCGTTGTCTCCTTAGAGAAGCACACTCCCCCTCCATCGCGAGCGACCTCCTAACTTCCGCTGCATGCAGTCTGCATTTCCTTGTTACATGTGCTCTTACTTACTTCCATAGCAAATGCATTTTTAAAGTCTCTGGGATGGTTGTTGCCATGAATCAGTTTTGATAATTTTTAATGATATTTTTATTTATTCCCTTTTGCTAGCTGGATTGCCTTTTGCAATTCTTACTTCAAGGCATACCCCCTTCCAGCGAGGAGTGTTCTGTAATGATGAGTCCATCAAGTACCCTTACAGAGAAGACACCATACCCTATGCGTTATTAGGTGGAATAATCATTCCATTCAGTATTATCGTTGTAAGTTAAACTGCTTTTCCAAGTTTCTAACTTTCGAGCACACGGTTACTCTTGTGATGGATTGTTGATGATTAAATGTATGTCCCCTCAGGACTTGTTTAACTTTAGTGGAAGCCTTATTGTATGGAGCTATTTTAAATGAGGTCAAAAGAGTAAAACTATGTAATTGGAGCCTAACTCAGTATATGTAGATTTTGTGCTAATTTTTATGTCACTGTGAGTATTACGGTTCTGATTTGCTTCTGTTTCAGAAATTATGTGACTGTTGAATGCTATAGCAGCGTGGTTCTCACATAGTGCATTGGGGATCATAACTGACTGTTGTTCTTTAGTACTGTGTTCTAGACGAGAGAAATTGCTAACTTAAGTTAAAATTTCATTCACCTCATTTTTTAGAAGAGTTTTAAACACTGCCATAAACGGAGAGAAAAAGTTAATGTTCTGTGATTAGCAGTGAACATGGAAGGAGTCTTAGTAGCACCAAAGGCAACACTGACAGTTGGAGCCATGTGGTAGCTTTGGTTGCCCAGCGTCTCAGTGGGATGCCCAGGGCGTGGCTCTAGGTAGAGTCCAGTGATAGACTGTTTCTGTGGCCCTTACATTCAGAAATTGTCATACTTAAGTTAACATTTCTGTACAAAGAAACTTAACAATACTTTAACACAGTTAAAGGCAGAATTATGATCCCAAGAGAAAAGACGACAGCATGTATATACCTTGTCAACTTTCGAAGTAAGTGTCAACATTTAATTAATTTGAAAACAGCATTCATCACATAATCAGATTAGTAATGAAAATTAATTAATTCATACTTTGTAGTAGACAACTAGTGAAAGAAAGCCTTCTGCTGTATGCATGTTTATTTGTAAAACTGAGATGCTGGGAGGAAGGATGCTGCTTTGTCAGCCCTAGTCTTCAGTGGCTGTCCTGGAGCCCGGCATGTTCTAGCCACTTCCCTGAAACTGTTGTCAGTATCTGGTGGAGGGGCTGTACTGTAACTCACGACTGTCTTACAGCGTGACAGAGGTTACAGATGACTGTATTGTAACTCACACAATTGTCTTACAGTATGACAGAGGTTACAGTAGGACTGTACTGTAACTCATACGATGGTCTTACAGTATGACAGAGGTTACAGTAGGACTGTACTGTAACTCACACAACTGTCTTACAGCATGACAGGTTACAGTAGGACTGAACTGCAACTCACACAATGTACAGTATGACAGGGGTTAAAGAAACCAGGGACTCCTTCATCTGCCCAGATCTCTGCACTAAGTTTTTACTAGTAAAGGTGACCAAACCCGCGATGGTTTGTAGGAGAAGTCATCTGTGTAGAGACAGGGTCTGCCTGTGTTTCCCAGCGCAGGCATGGATTCATGCACTGTCGCACTCCTGTCTTAGCCTCCTGAGTGCCGGGAAGCCTTTGAGTCCTGCCTGACCATGGTGGTGTGTGCCTACTCCAAGCACTCAGGAAGCTGATGCAGGAGTGTAAGTTCAAGCCCAGCTTAAACTACCTATTGCCATCAAATCTTATAGAAGTCGTTCACATACAACAGGGAGGGGGTCCTGGGTCTTACAGTGCACAGCAGCTGAGTCAGCCAAGAGTCCTGTATTGACATTTAAAGTGCTAGATGCCCTGCTCTTTCAGTTCTGCTCTGTCCCTTTAAAGGTGCCCAGGCTGTGTGGTGTGGATGTGCCTACAGGGCCCAACACAACCATCTAAAGTGGAAATTAGACTTTATTAACTTGAACCTTTAAAACAAAGTGTTTCAGGAAGAAGAGATGGCTCAGTGGTTGCTGCTCTTCCAAAGCATCCAAGTTCAGTTCCCAGCACCCATGTTGAGTGTCTTACAACCATCTCTAACTTCACCTTAGAGAACCTGACACATACACGTGTGTGGCACACCCACGGACACATACACACATGTGGCACGCCCACGGACACATACACACATGTGGCACACCCACGGACACATACACACATGTGGCACACCCACGGAGACTCATACACACATGTGGTACACCCATGGAGACACATACACACGTGTGTGGCACACCCAGGGAGACACACACGTGTGGCACACCCACGGAGACACACACACGTGTGGCACGCCCACGGAGACATACACACGTGTGGCATGCCCACGGACACACACACGGGTGGCACGCCCACGGCGACACATACACACGTGTGGCACGCCCACGGACACATACACACATTTGGCACACTCACGGAGACTCATACACACATGTGGTACACCCACGGAGACACATACACACGTGTGTGGCACACCCACGGAGACACATACACACGTGTGGCACGCCCACGGAGACACATACACACGTGTGACACGCCCACGGACACATACACACATGTGGCACACCCACGGAGACTCATACACACATGTGGTACACCCACGGAGACAAATACACATGTGGTACACCCACGGAGACACACACACGTGTGGTACACCCACGGAGACAAATACACGTGTGGTACACCCACGGAGACACATACACACATGTGTGTAGCACACCGAAGGGACTCAAGAATACACTTAAATAAAAACTTAAAACCTTTCAGCGGTCTCCCTGAAGTTATCTTTACATTTAGTAAAGTATTCAAATTAGCATCGGCAGAAACAAACTCTGCTTGAGGTAGCAGCTTCATGTACTAATTTAAAATAATTCTGGTTTACTTAATTCAGTTTTTCAAGTACTTCTTAATCAGAATTGTATAAACTGAATTTCATTTATTAGAAAATAAATTGTGAAGAAAAAAAAAAAGAAAATAAATTGTGTGTGGGTGGGGGTGCCTTACTAAAATAAAGTCATTGATTTGGACTTTGCACCGAGCCTCTGGCATGGCTTGCAGATGGTTTCTAACCGTGCTAGGTGGTACGTCGGAGAGAACCAAGAGCCAAGGGAGGGATTCAGTACAGAGGAAATGGTCAGTGAGAAGTGAGGTTGATAAACATCTGCTCAACCCAGTAATTCATTTTTGGCCTTCGAGAAAGAATCAGGAGGAGATAAAGAAATAGAAGCAAGGAGAGCTGTCTGGGAGGGGTGGAAATAAGAAGTGCACCAGTAATGCCAGACTTCTTTGGGCTAGCAGGCCCTGAATGAAAGAGGACACTGTGAGGATGCTGTGTAGACAGTCTTTTGTGGGGACACAAAGGAGCTGGTAAGAGAGTGCTGTGAGCATAGGCCCGCAGGGATGGCTCGGCAGTTTATAAGGGTTCTGCCTCCCTCCCTGAGACAGCCTCTTCTGTATTAATTATTGTATCCTTACTGTCTTAAGTAAATGAAACACAAGTACTTTGAGTTGTAGGATTAATTAGGCCACAGTTGGCTTAGGTGTAGACTTTGACAAAGATTAAGAACAAGGTATAATGGACCAAAGGTTAGGACAAAGTATCAAAATGAGTTGAAGAATGACTGTCCTATGCAGATCAAATACAGAAAACTAGATTTAGAACTTCTTCTGGCTGTTTCTGTTAAAGAGGAGAGCATGTAAGTTTAAGAAACGATGCCTGCTGACGAAGCATGTGTCAACATTAGAGCCTGGGAGCCACCCCAGTACAAGCGTTAGATCATGCTACTTGCGGAGATGCTCTGAACACCAGAGCTGGGTTGCTTCCGTCAGTGGCAGGAGGGGGTGGAGTGCCTGCAGCTGGTGCCAAGTGTGAGTAGGAAGCCACCTGTGCACCTGGTTCTGGAACATAACTGAGCTCGTGGAAACAGCTGACAGCTGGGGTGTGGAGGGCCACACTGCTAAACTGTAGTTGATCAATACACTTGTGTTTCCCGCCACCAAAGATCAACTCCGTAATGTGCTAGAGAAATCCGTTCACACTAGCAGCCCTTAATGACTCAAAGAGGCAATAGTCTTTAAATCAGGGCCACTGAACAGTGCAGGTGCAGTGACCCCAGAAGTCCAGTTTCCTTCTATAAGCGAGTCTCAGAAGGGTTTTATGCATTCATTGACAGCTAGACTATTTTTGTGAAATATAATGTGTTGAAGGGTTTTGACTTTCACCCCGGACAGTACCTTCCGTTAAAGTTTATTGACACCGGGCTCCTGTGCCAAATTTAGCTTTCTACTGGAAAGGTAAGAAACCAGCCAGCTTTACAGAATTCATAGTCTAATTGGCAAGACTGACTCAGGGATCCTAGGATCTGTCGAGCCAGATGAGGGAAGAATGACTGGCAACGGATTTTTGAGATTCCACTAAGTGGCGGCCGTTATTTATGCCACCTATGGCAATGCTAGCTCCGCAGACAACCCTTCCCTGTAAGACTGCTTAAGTTTAAGATGAGGTAGAGAAGCAAGCAGGTGTCTCAAGGGAAACTTGGTCACACAGCTCTCCACCTCCCTCCCACCCACAGGTTAGCACGCTTACTGCTCCCTAAGTGTTTGTGTAGATAGCAGGCCCCCAGAATGTGTCCTCTCGTCTTATGTAAGTAGCAAATTGCTAGTGTTTATAACGAAGCAGTCAGAATCTGGGTTGCTCAAGGCAGTGGTGGTAAACCCGTGAGGTTGTTCTGCCATATGCTCGCTACACTGGCAGCTCACCACCCAGACTGACACTGTAGCAGTCCACAGATGCTCATGGGAAGACTTTAACTCCATTTTGTAAAGCGGTGAAGAATAAGGGAGGAATCATCTGAAATCACCCCGGGAAGGAGGAGTCCAAGAGTCTTTTGGTAGGACTTTTTCAAGGCGTCTGGTTTTCTCTGAGTCTTCCAGAAGACATAACTTGGAGACCATGGGACTGAATTATACTCTTTTTAGAATGATGGATGTCTTTGACTCAAAGGAATGTTGAGAAAAAATGTAGACTGGTAGATTTTAAACATAGTTATATAATATGTTCACTGGGGAGTTTGTATTTGAGTGAGCCACAGCTGTCTTTGGGGAATCTCTCACTGTAGCTGTGGAGAGCACAGTTTATTTGAACACAGGAAAAGAAGCAGGGCTGTTCCTTCATGTAGACTGCACACTGCTTTGGGCTCAGCCGTGGCCTAGGCAGTGGTGCCTACTGTCAGCCTGGGGCTGTGGTTACTTTACAATCAGACGTCTTAAACTGACTTTAAAGGGGGATTAGAACAAACATCATTTGCAATTTAGCACTTGCTTTTCTGTTTGCTTGTTTAAAGGGCCTGCTTGTTGTTTTATCATCCTCTATTCCTTTCTTTTTCAGATGATTGCTGGAGAAAGTCTGTCTATTCACTTTAACGCCTTGCAATCAAATTCCTTTGTTGGCAATCACTATATAGCCACTATTTACAAAGCCATCGGAGCCTTTTTGTTTGGAGCTGCAGCTAGCCAGTCCCTGACTGACATTGCCAAGTATTCTATAGGCAGACTGCGTCCACACTTCTTGGCTGTTTGTGACCCTGATTGGTCAAAAATCAACTGCAGTGATGGTTATATTGAGAACTACATATGTCGAGGGAATGCAGAAAAAGTCAGAGAAGGCAGGTAAGTGTGTGGTCTCTGACACTTGTGTTACTTTGGTATTATCCATTGGCTACAAGGCTTTGATGACTTGGAAGAGGAGCTGACTGCCACTTTGATAAGAGACGCTAGGGCGAGCAGAGGAATGAAACCGTGACCTCCAAAGGAGTAACTTTTTCTTAAGGGGCTGGGGAGATGGCTGAGGCCAAACTTTCTTCACTTACAGTCTCGAAGAGTCACTGCACGATGAAAATGTCGTAAGTAAAATGTGTATTCAGTATATGACCCAGCCTAAACACGTCACACAGTGACACAGATTAGATTCAGTAGAGTTGGCTTTCCTTCTTGGTCATGTGGCTGGCTGGTAGCTGTGGCTAACCACTAGTGCCTAGGTTCAGAGTTCTGTACTCCATATTGTATATTGGAAAGATCAGAAAAGTAGTTTTACTCAATGAGTGTTACTTTCATATTATAGTGAAGTGAAACCAAGTTGTAACTTAGTCTGTATGCACTAACTGAGCAGCCCTTTAAAGTAGCTGTACTGGTCTGTAATCCCTAAACATGAGATCTGTTCACCCGAAATCATCGCATTAGGTTTTCACCTGAACTCTTGGCAGCCCTTGGGTCAACTTTCTGTCCTTACAGTTTCATATTTTCTAGGATGTCGTATGTGAGATCACTCGGTGAGGACCCCGATATATCTGCCTTCTCTTTTTAACATGTTTTCATGATTTGTCCATGTTCTTCTGGGAGGTTATTACAGATTGCTGATCCAGTCAGCTGAAAGTTGACTGACATTTAGGTTGTTTCAATTTGGGTTGTTTATGAAAAATAAAGCTTCAGCTGGGCATAGTGGCGCACACCTTTAATCCCAGCTCTTGGGAAGTAGAAGCAGGTATATCTCTGAGTTGAGGCCAGCCTGGTTTACATAGTGGATGCCAGGCCAAGCCAGCCAGGACTACACAGTGAGACCCTGTCTCAAAAAATGAAATAAAATGCTATAAACAATGTCTGCATGTAATATGCCTGTTGTTTTACTTGAAAGAATACTTGGGAGTATGTACTGTTACAGTTCCAGGGGGCCAGCCACCAAGTGCCACAGTGGGTGTAGCATTTTGCATCCTTCCCAGGAATGTGTGAGAGTCCTGGTTGTCATTTGTTACTGGTCTTTCTTGTTTTGGCCATCCTACAGGTTTTCTGTATCTCAGTGGTTTTCATTTGCAGTTTGTCCCTAAGTTGCTGGGTAACTTTCTGTGGCTATTGTCCTTTCAGCCTGTCATCTGGGAAATCTCTACTCAGCTCTTGTTCTTGTTTTTTTAAAAAAAAAAAAAAAAAAAAGAAAGAAAGAAAAAAAAAAAAAGTGGGTCCCTTGCTCTCCTGCATTGTGAGTCACTTGTGCTAATAAATGTCATTTTGGAGACATTTTCATGTTTTGACATTTTTTTCTCCAAATCTTTTCTTTTTTCCTGATATTCTTTGAAGTATAGAAGCATCAACTTTTAAGAACTTGTTTTTGTGTATGCACGGGGAGCTCAGAGGTCGGCATTGTGTGTCTGTCAGTTATGCCTCACCTTATGTTTGAGCCAGCGTCTCTGGAGTGTGCTGCGCTGATTCCATGAGCCTGACTTGCAGCGAGTCCCAGTGAGCCTCCGGGTTACAGGGCTCAGGTCCTCACGGTCCAGCGGCAAGCATTGTTGCGTGTGAGCCATCTCCCTGAAGTTTCCATGAAACCCTGTGTTAGGTCTGCTTTCCTAGTTTGTGGTTTGGGGATCCTAATGATCTATACCCACCTGTGCTTTATAAATCAATGTTTAAGCTTAGCTCTTACAGGAGGTCCAGCATTAATTTATTTTTGTGTATAAGGAAACTATTTTCCAATTTTTTCCAACAGACTATGCAGTTTCCAGAATTACTGACAAGTCCATCTTTGAGGGGAGCGGGTTGACACAGGACTTTTCTGCATAGCTGTCCTGGAACTCACTCTGTAGACCAAGCTGGCCTCGAACTCAGAGATCTGCCTGTCTCTGCTTCCCAAGTGCTGGAATTAAAGGTGTACAACACCACTGCCCAAAACAGTGATAGCTAAATCACTATTTTCAATTTTCTTAGGACTTTTGTTGAAATGTGGGTCTGCTGCTGAGTGCTCAGTCTGTTCCATTTATCCATGTTCTCTCTGCCAGTATTATACTGCAGCCTTATAGGTCTTAAAACGAGGTCCCTTTATTCTTCATTTTAAAGCTTTCCTTGTCCATGGTAGGTCTTCGTGTCTTGTTTGCTAGAATTTTCATTGAGTTTGCTTCAAATCTATATTTGGGGTGGTGTGTAATCTTTTTTAAAACTTATTTATTTTCTGAGTATCAGTGTTTTGCCTACATGTATGTATGTGCACCAGCTTGTACCTGGTGCAGACGCCAGAGGAGGGTGTCAGATCACTTGGAACTAGATTTACAGACAGTTGAGATGTCATCTGGGTGCTGGACTCGAACCTGGGTCATCTGAGAGAGCAGCAAGTGCTCTTAACTGCCTAGCCATCTCCACAGCTTTTAATATTTAACACCAGGTCTCCAAACTCACAAGGATAGCGTCGTTCCATTTAGTGAGGTTTTTAGTTGCCAGTGATTATTTCCTTTCCTATCTCTTTCCACTTGCGACCTCCAAGCCAAGGAGCTGCCAATCAAGAACAGTCTAGGACTGGGGAGTGGCTAAGCAGGCACAAGCACCAAACAGAAAAGAGAACAAAGGGAGGGGAAAGCCTGTTTCCAGGAAATAAAATTAACGTTTTTCTCTTCTTTTCTCCTAGGTTGTCCTTCTACTCGGGGCACTCTTCGTTTTCTATGTACTGCATGCTGTTTACAGCAGTAAGTACTCCAGGTGGCAGGGGCAGCTGCTGCATATAGGTTTTACTTCCCATGTGGCATGTAGCAAAAGTACACATGCAGGAAGCCTGCTCCTGCCGTATGCTGACACTTTCGGGGTACAAAGCTTCTGTACTGTTTGGGCAGGGCACTGGGTTGGAGGCTCAGCAGCTTCATGGTTTTCCTGCTACACTGTCCTGTGAGACGTCTGATGAATGGAAGTGAAGGCAGTGTGGCTACTGTTGGAGCAGGCATGTCATCTTTCCAGTTTCTGAAGTGTTTCCCAGAGACTTTGCACACTTGCCATATTCCAAGTTGGCACGGAGGAGTTAGAAAAGATGGACATGCACACAGCTCACTAAACCAGAGGTGATGAGTACATAAGACAGGGAGTTAGTACACATTCTAGGAATCTTTGAAGTTCAGTGTGTGTGTGTATAGATACACCATATAAAATGTGTGCTTACATATTTTTGGGTTTTTGAGACATGGTTTGTATAGTCTGGGCTCTCCTAGAACTAGTTCTGTAGATCAGGTTGGCCTCAAACTCAGTTTTTATGTAACATTTTTTTTGTACTTATGTTGCTCTTCCAGCATTTGGAGGGAAACCTTTACCCCCCACAGATGAGCTAGAATTTTTTTTTAAAGCTTGTATTGTGTTTAATTAGTGTTTGTGTGTGCTATGGAGGCCAGAGGACAGCTGAAGTGTTCTTTTCCCCCATGTGGGTCACTGGGATTGGGCTCAGGTCAGTCTTGGTGGCAAGTGTCTTTACCTGCTGAGCCATCTTGATGGTCCTGTGTCAGTTTTCTTCCTAAGTTAATTTTTATATAGTTGTACTGCATGCAAGTTTGCAGATTCCTGTTTTTTCCCTATAACATGAATATTCAAAGATAAAAAATCTGATGGAGGTGGGCATTATATGGCTGCGATAGTCACATAGGTCTATACTTATGAGTGCTGGGCCAGCTTTAGCTATGTAAGGCAATCTCTGATGTGAATGTTGAGTCATAAAGTTAATTTGGTGTCAGAATTTATAATCAACTTTAAATTTTTTATTTGAAAAAACTGTAAAAAAATGCAGATGTTATCACATTCAAGTCCACAACCTGAAGCTGGCTTTCTCTTACAACTCAGGAGCTTTGAAGAGACCCAAATCTTTCTGTAGCTATGCCATGAGGGTGACTCATTTCAGGGTAGAGACAGCACACAGCACTGACATCCTCTGTTTATTAGGGAAAAATAGCACTTGTTCCAAAGGAACTAAATATGTTTTGTTTTCTAACTAGAATTCTGAGGAAGGCTGGGCTGGCCAGAGCCTGGTCTACCCACCTGTAGGACTTTGTCCAGAGCACAAGGTTGTAGGCTGCCATGACGGGCTTTGGAAGTGTTCAGCCAGACCCGAGTGTCAGTGTCTCTGTCCTTGAAAGAGACCTACAATTCTGCTTCAGTTGCTATGAATGACTTTCTTGTAATTTCCATGTAGGGAAAGTGGGGAATGACTGCTCCTCTAGAAGGAAGAGGCCTTGGGAGGGCTGTCTCTTGACAATCAGGGGCACTATTACCTGATACCTTGGAATTACCCGAAAGAGACTTAGTGGAAGGAGGCTAAGCTTGTGCTGTAGGATAACTTGAGCAACTATAATGTGGTACCTGGGCCATTGTGAACCGTTAGATGTAAGCATTTGACAGGAGTCTGGGGAAGTTAGTGAAGTGCCTGCCTGCAAGGATGGCGACCTTAGTTCCAGCTGGGTGTGCTGACATGCATCTGTAATGGTAGCGCTGGGGAGGCAGACAGGAAAGAGAATCTCTGGAGATGACTGGCCAGCAGTCTAGTGAATTTGTGAGCTCCAGGTTCAGTGAGAACCCTGACTCAAACACTGAGGCTCAAAGATGGCTAGCAATTATCGACTGTTTTTCCAGAGGACCAGGGTTTAATTCCCAGCACCTACATGGTGGCTCAAATTCCAGTCCCAGAAGACCCATTCAGACCTCCAGGGGCACCAAGCATGCAGATATGCATGCAGGCAAAACACACATACACAAAACACAAGTGGGAAGAAATAGAGGAAGACACCCAACATAGACTTCTGGCCTCAATATGGCACATACATGTACCCAAATTTTTAAACTCACATGTGTGCACTTAACATGTAAACACACACACAAAGAGAAAACAAGTAGATAGGTGTGTCATAAATCAAAGCATTTCTGGAGAAAAGCAATCACTTATGGTTTCGCTGACTTGACACAGTAGAAACATTTACTTGATTGGCATGTAGGCTTAGCTTTGACTTCTGCCCTGAACAAACAGTGTCTCTTGGCTTTCCTATTTATATACAACACAACCTCCCCTCTCCCACATTCCTGAGGCGGTGACTCATGGGTTTCTCTGGGCATCTTGGCATTATAGGTCAGTCTCAGGTTTGGGTGGAGATACAGTCATTTAAAGTCTGAAGATTCCTGACAATTACAAATTAACTTCTAGTTAAAAATTTTTCCTAAAGCCCATCCTTTGACTATTGTGCCCTGGCAGGCAGCCCAGACCTGAGCTCAGTGCCAGGGAGGCAGCACCAGTACCAGAGCTGGAGGAGCCCCAGGCAGGTCTGCTTTGCACTTGCTGTGACTCCCCTTGAATCTGGTTGGCTGCCATGTGTGACTGTCACAGTAGCAATGTATCAGGTTTTTCATGGATCCATCTTACAGAGGTTTATTTACATCTCTCCTAGCAGCTGAGCCCTCTCAGGTATAGACGGCTGTCTGTTTAAACCTATATTCCCTCACATAGCTCCTGCCTTGAAATCTGTAGTCATTGAGCACTGACCCTGTACCACTTAGCATTGTGCTTCTTAAAGATGTTTTCAGACTATGAAGGAGAAGATGATGAATTCATGGCTCAAAGACGGAGCTCCATGAATGGCAGAGAAGCCTGAACTAATTATGCCTGTTTTATACTTTTCTCTTGACCAGACTCATTCTCAAATGTAGGTGAAACAATTTAGCTTGTTGGGCAAGTATTTGTGTTGATAGTGTTGTTCAGGGCTTGGGGATTTGGGTAAAAGGTAAAACAAATATTTAAACTTTAAAATCTATTTTTTCCATTCTAAAAACAGCTCTCCCTGCTTTATGGTGTCAAACCTAGTCCCCACTACGTACACCTATTAGTCAGGTACCACTAAGCTACACATCCTGAGGCCCCAAATAACTGACCCCCTTGGCTCCAGTTTACAGTGGCAAGTGGGGAAAACTGCGAGACAGTAACAATATTAATAAGGTCAGCCATTGGGTAAAACAGAAATAAACAAGCTGCAAAATGTTTTGCTTACCAGTTTATTTCCAGGTGAGATGATTTTATCATCTAATGGAGATTACTATATCATTAGTGAAAACTAAATATAATTTCTAGACTGTAGCCCTGACTGGCTATACCCTACCATAGGCTAGGTGGTTGGGGTGCTGTAATCGATTACATAGGGAGCTTTCACAAACAGAGTCAGGTTCCAGTGAGGACCCTCCTCCTCTTGGCTGCACACTACTGACTTCTGCTGTAGCCTTACAGGATGCAAGTGATCCTGGAGCTTTTGAGTCTCACCCAGGAGCACTGGTCCCACTTATGAAGGCTTTGCCTCCATGACCAAAGGATCACCTCTTTGGGTGTTAGAATCTGAGGGCATGATCCTTGGTAATATAAGCAAGGGAAAACACCCAAATTGTCCCAAGTGTTTAAAAAGCCCAAAGGCCCTGTGTTACACTGTTAGCATGAATTTGGAAGGCATCTGTACTTTTGCCTGTGGGTGGATTGGGCAGCTTCTTCCACCATCTTCTCTAGGTGTAACTATTGGTTGGTCAAGGCCTCTTCTAAGGAATAGGAAGTTGCCTGTATAATCTGCATTTCTTACAATAACTGCAGAGAGCTTGTCTCCCTCCCTCTTTTTCTCCAACTTGATGGACACTTGGTCTTGCAGTAAGCAGGGAGGTTCACCAGGATTTTCTAGAATCTTACCTGAAGACTGGCTTGATAGGCACAGAACTGCTTTTTTGGACACAAACCCATACCTGACACAAAACCATAGCTGCAGGGCCATTGGCGATGCAGCGTTTCTAGAGGATTCTGGTTGGTCACTAAGGCTAAAACTTGGCTGGGTTTGCTCACTGGTGCTACTTGGCTTGCTGAGATCTTAAGTCACTGCACTCACTAGAGCAGCAGTTCTCAACACCTTTGGGGGGGGGTCCCCTAAGACTATTAGAAAACAGTTGCTCTTGTTTGAGGATAGCAGAACTCTTGGGTAAACAGGTTAGCTAAGCAAACAGCCCTTAGATGAGCTAAGCAGGAAACAAGTCTTGCCTAGAGCAATGGCAAACTTGTCTGAATTCTAGTTTATCCCAAGACTAGGAACAAATGACAGCACTACACACTCCCAGAATTTTAACTCAAACTCAAAGGAAGAACTACCTTGAAATCCTGTCTAGAGTCACACTGAAGCCCCGCTTCACACGTTGAAGGGCATGGAATAGCTAAATAGGCAATAAATTCTTCTAAATACAAGTTCTGGGGCAATATTTGTGGCACACACTTTAAAGTAGTAACTTAGACAATGCTTGCCTAAAGTTCTATTTCCTATGTAAATATTCTGATAATCTAAATCTCTTTAGAAGTGTGGTGAGACTCAAGTTTTCTGCTGGCTTGTTAAATGAACTTATTCTTCCCTTCCCCCTTTTCTACTAGCTTTATCTTCAAGCCAGGATGAAGGGAGACTGGGCAAGACTCTTACGCCCCACACTGCAGTTTGGTCTTGTTGCTTTATCCATATATGTGGGCCTTTCTCGAATTTCTGATTATAAACACCACTGGAGCGACGTGTTGGTGGGATTCATTCAAGGAGCTGTGGTTGCAATATTAGTTGTAAGTACACAGAACAGTAGCCTGCATGCTGACACGGCTACAATAAACATTTTGAAAAATCTGCAGTGAGAAACCTGACAAGGTAGAAAATGTGGCTCAATAATTCTGAGTAAAAATCCTGTTTTTTGTTTGTTTTGGTTTTTTGAGACAGGGTTTCTCTGTGTAGCCCTGGCTGTCCTGGAACTAGCTCTTGTAGACCAGACTGGTCTTGAACTCACAGAGATCCACCTGCCTCCTGAGTGCTGGGATTAAAGCCTTGTGCCACCTTTACCACCATGCCTGGTAATGACTCCCAATTTTAATAAAATCTTGTAGGATAGGTCAGACAGGTAAAAATTACTTCTTTGTGAAAGTTGTAAACTTCATAGTGCTTTTACTGTCAAAAAACATAGTTAGAGTAAACAAGTTTCTTTTTGCATGAATTGAAAATGAATTGTTGCTTTTTAAGTGTTGGTTAAATGAAGCTATTTATTAAAAAGCAACTACACTTGGAAGAATTTTCTTCAAAAGATTTTTCTTTTAGCTACTTTTTTTCTCTTTTTTTTTTTAGACAGTGGCTCATTGTGTGGCCCTGGCTGTCCAGTGCTGGTATTGAAGGCATACACCACTACCACCAGCCTAGCCAGTTTTATCTTACGTTCCTAATTGCTTCCTGAAATTTTGTATATGATTTTTAGACTTATATAAATTATTATACACCATTAAATATTCTGCCCTCTTCTATATAGGCTGTGTATGTATCAGATTTCTTCAAGAACAGACATTCTTACAAAGAGAGAAAAGAGGATGACTCACATACGACTCTACATGAAACCACCGCCACCACATACTCAAGCAATCGCCATCCTTGAAGGATGTGGGGAACTGGCCAGCTTCTAAAGAAAACCGCTGGAGGCAGAAGGCGGGAGGATGCATATTACTTTCTGGTGTACAGGCCATTACAAGACTGCTGCTATACCTCTTGGATACACCCACTTTACCTGTGTATATAGTTACATTTAACACATGATTATCTAATAATCCGATTTAAAAATATCAAGCCTTCCACTAAGAACACTGCCCCACCTGTACATTTTTTAATTGAAAGATGCTATGTACAAATGTGTATGTTACATGCCTTCTTAGAATGAGATCCGATTTAAAAACAATAAAATGCTTGAACCAACTCTTGCGATGGGAGAACCACTTGAACACGTGTAAGCTTCTGTAGTCAACTGTGATCAGACAGGTGGAGATTGATGTGGAATCTATAAGTACAGGCTGGCAGCAAATACAATATCCCTCTTGATTTTGGTGATTCCTAAGGGAAAAGAAAATAATGCTGAAACTTTCAAAACCATAAAATACTCGTGTACTAGGGTTTTACAGCTCAGTCCTAACTAAACTGGTGGACAAACAACCTGGAATATAAAAAGCTGTTCACTTAAGAGACTTCAGAGCCATCTGAAGAACCTCAGGGCCAGTCTTTGCCTTTTTGACTGGCAACTGCATTGAGTGTGCTGTGTGTGTGAGTGGCTACTTAAGATGTCCCAAGTAGATGATCGCAATCAAGCAGTTATCTTTATATCAGAACCAGTTTACAGTCTGGCCACCCTTCCTGCATGCTCTCCCTATATGCTCCTAGCTACCCTGTAGACTTGGCCATTTCATTTCCCCCATTCCTTACTTGTACTCACTCTGCTCCAAGTAGAGCTTTGTGCTGTTGCTCAAACATTTTGAGCATATATAAAAGGCCTTAAATGTCATCTCTGTGGACATCTGAAGGTTATCTTTTCTACTTTATTCTGGCAGACTTAATGTCCGTTGATTTATTTATCTCCCTCCTATTATAAGTTTCATTAATTGCACTTTTATGTTTACTCTTACAGTTCTTAAAACAATGTTGGATACATAGTATTTAATAAATATGTATAAATGGGAATCTCTGTGCATAAAAAAATTCCCAAAAGTGTCCCATATAAACCTTTCAGTTTAGATGACCCTCCACTGACAGACAGTCCAAGATACCTCAAAATGTCCTTTAAGTTATGCCAAAGGCCTCACTTACATAAATTATCAGAAAAGGCTTATAAACTAGATTCTGACCTTCAGCAAATTTGTTCTCCAGCTCCGTGTTTCCAATGGCTTTTGCTGCTTGACACATCTGTCGAAGCAGTTCTTCCAGGCGCCTCATACAACGAATTATGCTGCCTGGATAGAAAAGGAATCAGTGAGTTACTTGTGAATAAACCAGGAAGAGTAAAACACTTGTCAAGATGCAAAGCAGGAGAACATGATTTGGCTGTCTGTTAGAGAAAAGGTTTAATTAATCACCTTTGATTAATGGTAGTAAAAGACATAATCTGAGGATACATTGGCAGAGGTGGGTAAACCAAATGCCCTGGCTTCAAAGAGAGAACAACTTGAGGAAGGTTGCCAGCATGACAGCTTATTGGGCTGTAAGAATCATGAAGTCTCTGTCAGGAAGCGGGTCTATGGAGACAGTAAGCAAGGGCCTAACAGAGCACCACTTCCTGGACCCTGGGGGAACCCTACTTAGAATTCTGGATACCACATGCACCAGCTATGGAGAGAACAGGTTAGCATGTTTCATCAATGTTTTCTTTACAGAAGTAGCAGAGAGGAAACAAGCCCTTCCCTTTAGGTTGCAAGTCCAGGACAAGTATCTATCAAAGCTGAAACTGGAGACAGTGCTACTAGTTAGACTTGTGTAGGAAGAGACCTGACCTTTCTCCAAGTGGGACCAGACATTACAGTGAGATCTGGGGACGTCACTGTAACGTCTGGACTGCATTAGGAACATCATTTATCTTAAGTGCAAGCTGTATGAAAGGCACCCACACTGATTCCTTGTGACACTGAACAGTTCATTATTATGAAAACATAAATGTTAATCACTGCTCAGTATCAAGAATCCTTCTTACCGCTTGCACCCTCCACCTCAGGTTCCAGTATGTCCAAGCAGGACACAATCCTAAGCAGAGTGAAAATGGAAGCTAGGTTGGCGGTGCACAGCTTCAGTCCGTCCAGCACTCAAGGAGCTCTATGAATTTGAGGCCAGCCTAGTCTCATAACAAGACCATGTCTCCTAACGGTACTGGAATTCAAACTCCAGGTCCTTCCATGAGAGCTCTACCGCTGAGCTGCATCCCTAAGTCCCAATAAATATCATCTAAAATAAAAGAAGACAAGTATAGTCTATTTCTAATAATAGTATTTGTGATGTTACTTGGCTCCTGCTGAGAAAGCTCATTAACTGAGTCAAAGGTGAAAGGTAGTTAACTCTATGGATTACTCATTGCTGTGGTAAAAGACCCAGCTAAACTAAGGGAGGAAAGATTTATTTTGGCTTATGGCTTAGCAGTCCACCATGGAGAAGTCATACTAGGTGTGGTAGAGGGAGCATGTAATATGTCATGTCTTTGGTTCTGGCAACATGACTACAGCACCATGGGAATGAAGAAGACAAATACTGAAGAAACAAACAGAATAGTTGGGGTGGGGGGGCGCTATGCTCTCTCTGACAGAGGGCACCACTCTGTAATCTGGAAACGCAGTGCGTGTATTATGTAGAGGCGGGCAGTCTCTAGGGGAGCAGCATCAGGTTGCAGTCATCTGGGAAGAAGTTGTGTGCTAGTTTATTTTTTTTCTCCACACACTGCCCAAGCATTTATAAAAACATGTACCTGAGCTAGAGGAAGGCCTTGCCATCCCTCTGAGCTCACCTGGGGAAGAAGACTTTGCCATTTCTGTGAGACTGAGGCACTGGGATCCTTGACATGGCTGTGCCCATGTCAACAATAAGGATTCACTCAGGGCTTCCTTCACTCCCCACAAGCATGTTCCCATCTATGTGGATCTAAGTGGCAGGAGAGAGGGCAGGGAGGAGGGCCAGAATGAACATCAACACCCTCTGGTCCCACAGGTCCTACAAGTTGACAAAAGAGAAACAGCATCTGGGGACCAAACATTTAAGCCTACAGAGTATACTTACACTCAAACCATAAAAATACCAGAATAGGCAAACTCTACAAATACAGACATTAAAAACTAGATCAAGAATGGTAACTTCAGTCTCACATCTTTTAATCTCAAAAACTTTCTTACATGTTGGATGAGTAAACCATGCTTAGAAGAAAGGATAAAATCAGATAGATATGTCTGAGGAAAGCTGGTGCTGTCCAACATCTCCTGGGCACTTGACTGTGCAGGCCTGTGCTATGCTTTGTGACGTTTTCATTAGGGCTTTACAATTCCACGAGGCAAGTACTATTGTTATCCCTAGTCTGCAATGAGGTAAAGGAGAAAGTTCAGAGCTACGTACACAAACTGACCAAGGTCAGAGACAGAATTCACGTCAGGCCAGAGGCTTGACTCACTGGGACAACAGCACTCATGCATGCCACCCAAGTCTGAAGACCCAGATTTTTCCCATGGAAGCCAAAGTGGAATGAAAACATTGAATACTGAAAGTTTTCCTGACCTCTCCATGCATGCCATAGCACACATAAAGTATTTGTGAGAAAAAAAGAAGTCACACTGTCTACTCAGATTAATTCACATAAAATGATTTAGCTGGGATTTTAAAAGTACATTACATTTATAGGCCCTAAATTATAATTCAGCTATTAAGTTTTTGGCTTTAAACTTTTCCTAGGACTATTCCATGCTGGTAATATAAACAAACCAACAAATCTTCATTAATGTGCTTTAAGGAGCAGTTAAAAAAGTCAGATAAAGGTTCTTCATTCTGCATGCTTGACAGTCCTTAACAACAGTAATCTCACTGAAACAGCAGCACTGGAATTCTGCGACTGTGAAGGACACTGACAGGGAAACTATCTTCCCTAGAGATGTGACTGAGAGTAAAGACGACAACATAAACACTAAGAAAGCACGGGACAACAGCACCATACTCGTTAAATGCTGTCTCAAAATGAGGCTACCCAAGAAAACAGGTACAACTGACAATTTGTCCAGGATCATTAACCCAGGTAGGTAATAATAAGCTCAGAACTATGTTTTAGCCACTGTTATGTTGGTAGTAGGATACATGGGCAAAATTACAAGCAGTAAGGCTGGGGAAATGGCTCAGCAGTCAAGAGCACTGGCCATTCTTCCAGAGGACCCAGGTTCAATCCCCAGCCCCCACATGGCAGCCTTTTGGGGAGGGGCGTGTCTGACGCCCTGTTCTGGCTTGCTCAGATACTGTACATACATGGTGCCATACATGTAGGCAAAACAAAAAGTAGAAATTTAAGCAGGTTTATTATGCTAGGACAGCAGCAGAAAGGATAGGATTTAGGAAGATGACAGAATTAAAGATGACCTTGGGAGTCAAAATGAGAAGGTGAACCGAAGGCTGATGGAAAGCTGGGCTGGAGCTGAGAGAGATGCACAAGGAGAGCAATGAAGGTGAGGAAACTGAGTTCAGTCATGGAAGAACCTTAGATTATAAACTGGAAGCCTTGCACAGCTCAGCACTATCATTGCTCTCATCTTGAACTTGGATGAGGAAGGCATAAAATGAACAGATGAGAATCTGTGAGCTCAATGAAGGACAAATACTCAGGTACTGGTCTACAAGAGGAAAACTAGAGCAAGTCTCAATGGTATCTGAAGGACAGTTACCTATGGTGAGACAGGGAGGCTAAAATGTTCCAAATGAAAAGACTACAACACATGAAGCAAGCACACATAGGAAAAGCTAACCCCCAGTTCTCCCTCAGCTCCAAGTGCAAGGATTACAGTTGCGCTCCACTTGGAGAGACAGCTAACATTTCCATTCTAATACATGAAAGCATTCTCAATTTTTAAAATTAGGCTATAGCTACAAAAGCTAAAAGACAAAACAATGCCATTCTAACTAGGTGCTACATAAAGAGATGATCACTGGATTATGCATACAATCCAAGGAAGTTTATCTCTCCACCTTTCCTTCACTGCCCCAGACTTGTCAGCTGTCTGGTATAAACAGTCGTACCAGGCCCCAAGCTGATGGGGTTATCCAAGCTGTAAATGAAATGTAAATAACAGCCCTGCACATGAGCCCATAGCACAGCAGAACTGATACACACTGGCTTTCTCTCGTGTTCTCAAGGTTAGGTAGGGATGCAGGCTCCATGCCCACCTCAGAAGGAAAGGAGAAATGCACTCACTCAGAAG